GTCATCGCACAGGGTGGTGTAGGGCACCATTTTTAGGGTGTCAGTTCCAGGGATTCAGATCAGCTTCTCCCCCTCTGCTAGGAAAGCCAGTCATGGGATGATGGGGGTTATCTCATTCATCCTAAAGGAAATCTATTTTTTTTGACACACTGTTCCCAGCAGATCTTTTTCCTAGCGATCCCGTCCGGCAGCTCGGGGGTTAACCAGTCCAGGTCTTTATTCCTAGCAACTGGCTGATAATAATTCTCCCCATTAACAGCGGTTGGAGATGCTGCGATAAGCCTATCAGCCTATGACAGCGCCTGCGATTACTGCACAAAGTGCATGTTTGCATACGGCCCGGCCATGATAACCAGCTACAGCCGCGATCAATACGGCCCATAAAAAAAAGAGACGACGTCAGGATTATTAATAGCCGCCCCGGGAGGCTGGTTAACATAACAGCGGTTGGAGATGCTGCGATAAGCCTATCAGCCTATGACAGCGCCTGCGATTACTGCACAAAGTGCATGTTTGCATACGGCCCGGCCATGATAACCAGCTACAGCCGCGATCAATACGGCCCATAAAAAAAAGAGACGACGTCAGGATTATTAATAGCCGCCCCGGGAGGATGATTAACATCAGATCGATGAGGATTAAAACCGCACCCCAAAAAGAAGCCTTGCAGGGAAAAATAACAAACACTGAGCCACATCGAATCGCCACCGACCGTGCAGCACCGCGGCGCTCCGACTGCACGCTGATCGCATTTCGGGTCACGTACAGAACCAACAAGTTTTCAATATGCCAAAAAGTTTTCTTAAAGGATAAGTGCACCTTCAAAAGAAAGCGCATTTATCCTACTTGCCCCCGACCCCTGACCTCTGACCTAACCCCCTAACCCAACTCCCTCTCCACAGACACTTAAATCAATCCCATGGCCGCGGTTCTGGTGTTTGATCACATCCAGTCTTCACTGCCCGGGCCACGCCTATGCATCACAGTCCCATAAACTTCTATAACTATATCCCGAGGCCAAAGATGATCAGAGATGGTCCAATACAAGTCAAGGGGGGCACAGGCATGGCCAGGACAGTGTGGCTTGGATCACAGGTTCACCCTGACAATGTCGACATCTGCTTCTCTCCAGAAGGACAGCGTCATCTTTGTTTAGACATAATCCGGGGTCACCATCTACTTCATGGACTGAGATGCCGGCTCAGAGATGACACAGTCATGACTGGCAGTCATTTTGGTGTCACCCCCCTCTAAAAAGTCGGGCACTCGGTCATGGACCGAGAGCCCGTCAGTGTCAGGAGAGGGGAGGGGACCCGGCGGCATACCTCATCTCGCCGGGTGAACGTCCCCTCCTCTCTCTGCCGGCATCCATCACCAAGATGGCCGCCGGCAGGCATCAATCAGATGGTCGTGCATGCGTGAGGTGGCATCACATGCACGCGCGATGCCACCCGACATCGGGACGCCCGTGGCTGTGTTCACAAATGTCTGACATAGATCAGCCCCTGCTGCAGCCTCACCTTGCAACTGGATACAATGTTGCAGACTGATCACTGGGGGGAGGGGAGACTGAGGAAATGCTTCCTCCTGCTTGCAGCAGACTGGTGACATCATCTCAGCCTGGGCAAAGTCACTGAGTGGAGCTCAAGGTCAGGAATGTATCTCTTGATTTTAAGTGAATGTTGTTGGATAATATTATCTATTCAGGTCAGACACTGATATCGGCAGAGAGCCCCTTTATTGGTGATCAGGTCTGCGATTTTGTGTTCACAAAGTCCTCCTGCAGTGTGAAGATTGCTTGTCATTGAAGGAAATGCCCTCGGCTCTATGAAATGTGACTTTTCCTCTTTTACGGACAGCCTGACCGCAAGCAGCTGAATCCGGAGCCTTTGCACGCAGGGCTGACTGCTGACAAGGAAAGGTTATTATAATCAGACACCTGCCAAGTCATTGAGTATTATTAGTAACGTGGACAAAGCCCTTCTGATGCCGCGTCACCGGGGCGGGTCCCTTATCGGCCGCTATCAGTGTTATCGCTTCCCAAGACTTGACAGTCAGCAATGAGGGGAGGGGTAGAGCGCGAGTTTTCCTAGACATCACATGGCAAAGGACCTGAGCCAATCAGTGGTTGCGCCTGACCCCTTTACTAATGTAATTAAAGAGAGAAGCGAGCAAGGGCTTTGTCCACTCAACATCAGTGGACTTCAAATAAACCCCATTTTATGTACCTGAGTCGCCGGGGGGCGTGGCCTCCTCAAGCAGGTTCGCCGTTGGCTCCGCTTCGCCCATCTCTTGATCGGACACTTGCGGCACCGAGCTGCTCGGCTCTCCTGTTCATTAAAGGATACTCAAGTGAACATTTGTTTCAGTGAACTCAGCAATTGTGAGAAAGGGGAATTTTCTACTTAGTAAGAGACGTGACCCACTCAGAAATCCCCGAGACACACATGGCGGCAATAAAAACACAGAAACATCACAGGATACGGCCAATTGAACACCATAAAACAATATAAAGATCATATATACAGGAACAACTGCGAGTGTACAAAGAGATACAGTGTATCAAATGAGTCAGAATCATCTCTACGTGTCTCTGCTCCTCCCACAATGGTGAGATTTCCTCCAGTAGTTTCTGTCTCTGCTCCTCCCACAATGGTTAGATTTCCTCCAGTAGTTTGTGTCTCTGCTCCTCCCACAATGGTGAGATTTCCTCCAGTAGTTTCTGTCTCTGCTCCTCCCACAATGGTTAGATTTCCTCCAGTAGTTTGTGTCTCTGCTCCTCCCACAATGGTGAGATTTCCTCCAGTAGTTTCTGTCTCTGCTCCTCCCACAATGGTTAGATTTCCTCCAGTAGTTTGTGTCTCTGCTCCTCCCACAATGGTGAGATTTCCTCCAGTAGTTTCTGTCTCTGCTCCTCCCACAATGGTTAGATTTCCTCCAGTAGTTTGTGTCTCTGCTCCTCCCACAATGGTGAGATTTCCTCCAGTAGTTTCTGTCTCTGCTCCTCCCACAATGGTTAGATTTCCTCCAGTAGTTTGTGTCTCTGCTCCTCCCACAATGGTGAGATTTCCTCCAGTAGTTTGTGTCTCTGTTTGTCTCCCCCCGCCCCCACACCCCTGCGAGTGGTGGAGATACCTTCGGCTTCTGCTGCGTCACTGTACGATGGACTCGAGGAATCACAATCTGCTAAATCTTCCAGGTCAGAAACAGAGCCATCTTTATCAGAAGTGGTCAACTCTAATGCCAAACTTTCGTCCGTCTCTTCCATTTCACCGAGAGAACCTACAAAAAAATATATATATATTATATTTAACTTAAAAAGATAACTTTCAAAGTATTTAAAGTGCATGTCAAGGCAAAATTAAAGAAAACATATTTTGTACATCTCTGGATGAGAAATATATTATGCTCTGACCTTCCTCCCTGACAACACGGCTCTGAATTCCTGGGAATGTGGTGTCCGCCTGGCCTACTTCATTTCTGATGAATTACAAGGAACACAGATCTGCTCCCTCCTCCTCATCTCCGCCCCTCCTCCTCATCTGTATAACCCCTCTTTATCTCCTCCCCACCTCCTCATCCCTTCCTCCCTCCTCAGCCTCCCCTCTCCTTGTCTCCATAATCCCTCCTCATCTCCCCCGCCATGTCTCCATAACCCCTCCTTGTGGAAAGGCACAGGAAGTAATCAGCTCACAAGATTTCCGGCAGGATCACCAGGTTAATTTTGTGGAACAATTAAATATTTAACAGACCAAAAGGAAGAAAATAAGTGGAGATTATTGTTCGGGATTACATAACCTTTCATGAAAAAAAAACAAAAACACAAAACTGGAAAGAATCTCTAATTTTCGAATAATTAAAGCCTCCAATTCCCGCTGCTCATTACTCGGCAATGGCATTATGAATGCGAATAAAACAAAATCAGAACAATTTCTACATTGTTACCATTTCCTCAACCACACTGCGACAGTACGACGCACACACGACGGATTCGATTTAAGGGATCCGACCACACTGCGACAATACGACGCACACACGACGGATTCGATTTAAGGGATCCGACCACACTGCGACAATACGACGCACACACGACGGATTCGATTTAAGGGATCCGACCACACTGCGACAGTACGACGCACACACGACGGATTCGATTTAAGGGATCCGACCACACTGCGACAATACGACGCACACACGACGGATTCGATTTAAGGGATCCGACCACACTGCGACAGTACGACGCACACACAACGGATTCGATTTAAGGGATCCGACCACACTGCGACA